CGCCCCACGCATGGGAGCTGTGAAGGGGGAGGAGAGCCCTGGGAAAAGCACCCTTCACGAACGCAACGCCCCCCCCCCCCGAGAAGAGTCGAGGAGGCGACGGGGAGGGGACGCATGGGAGATGGGGCGGGGGAGCTCCAGAGAGCCCTGGGAAAAGCACCCTTCACGGACGCAGCGCCCCCCCCCCGAGAAGAATCGAGGAGGCGAGGGGAGGGGACGAGGGCAGGGCCTCCCCGGCAGGGCGCCACGTATGCCGTCGAGGCGTGTCGGCGGCGGCCCGCGACGACGACGACGACGGCTCTCAGATCTGACGTTGGGAAAAGTCGCAGCGTCGCAGAACAAATCGCCACTGGAGCCCCATAGCCTACCTTTCTGCGCCATTGATTGCGACTCGCATCGATCTGTGAGGGTCCAGGGGGGCCCGAAATTGAGCGACCATGCCCCTTGTGCACAAACTGCAGCGCCAGAAACTCCAGGGTTGAGTCGGGCCTGTCCCCCTACATGCCGAGCTTGGACGCAAACTCAAAACGTTGTCAGAAAATACTCCCCAATGGCCAAAAATAGTGAACAAATCGTCCCCAGACCTTTTTTTAATTTATATACAAAGAATAATACTATTTTTGAAGTGTCCTCCTGTAGAGGGACAGGCCCGACGTAACCCCAGGGACGACGCCGACGGCGGTGGCGGACCGCCCACTCCGGCAGCGCGGCGGGGCCCGGCGGCGCGCCGCCCGCCCTGGCGGCCGCCGCGGCGGTGGGGTCCGAGGCCGGGGCCGACGGGGGCCCCGGGGCCGCCGGGCCGCCGCCCGGCGGCCCGCCCGGCGGCCCGCCGCGGCCAGCCCCGGCCGTCGAGGAGGAGGAGGCCGAGCGCGCCAAGCCTGCGGAGGTCGCCGAACGTCGCGCGCCGGCCGAGGCCCCCCCCCCCGGGGCCGAGGGCCGAAGATCGAGGATGGAGGCTCGAGGATTCGGCTGGACCCGGCCGCGAAGTCACGGTGTGGCACGACCAAGCTCGGTCACTACTGTTTCCACTGTCGTCACCCTGCCTGCTGCTGCCAAACGCGCAAGATCCCCCCCCACCTCCCGCGGAGCGGCCGCAACAACTGCAAGGGCCACTTCTTCAACAACGCGGGGGAGGGAAGCACCGGCAGCAATGAGAAAGAGGCTGCGGTTCCTCGTCGCCGGCCAGCTGCATGGAGGAGGCCATGTCGGGTAGTCCGCGCACGGACGAGACAGCAACTTATGCATCGACGGGTCTTGGCCCCAACTATGGCCAAGGGGTCCCTCCAGGAACACGGGACACAGAGACCGCCAACTCCGTTGCCGCCGCCGCGCAGGCCGCGTGTGGGCCTGTGGGACGGGAAAAGGATCCTGCGGATCCTGGAGAGATTCTCGTGGCCCTGGTTGATGGTCGGGCAATTCCCTCCAGCACACTCCTGGGCAAGACGGCGACCATCGGAGGTGGCCGTGAAACCGCAGCCGGAACAGAACTTTGGAAACAAAAACTCGCTCATGCGATGAAGCCGATGCGACGAGTGGAGCCTCATCGCTCTAACCTACTGCACTCACCGCAGTGGCTCGACGAGGGAATTGTCTTCGAAACCAGGATCAGCACCATACGCTCTAGCAGGCGCACCCGCCTCGGCGACGAGAGCCTTCAGACACCCCCGGGCCGCCACAGCCAGGAGTTGGGACCTCGGGACAATGTGCTTACACATCTGGCAACGCCATCTACCACCAAACGGCATGATTATGAGTGCTGGCGTCAAGAGCATTGTCGAGGACCGAGCGTAGAGGGCAGAAAATCCACCACCCCGATAATAACAACCCCGACACGCGAAGCCGTTTAGCAAACGCGCCCAAAGAAGGAGTAGAACAGGGCAAGGCTGTTTAATAAACGCCCATGGCCGTTTAGTCAACGCCAATTGTCCGGTCCGGGTGGTCTTTCCTCCCTTGAATAGCTGCAGCGGTGTCATACAAGTCACTACGCGGGGGCGGCTGAACCACATGTTGATCCCAAGACCACCTAGCAATCACCCCCGCCCAAACGTCCGCGCACGCATTGCCCTGACAGAGGGAAGCTAGCTCCCACTGGGACTTGATTCTCGTGTGGTCTTCATCCATGTAGGATTCCGTCCAACGGGCCTGGACCTCGGCGGAGCCTCGGGATTCCAAAGCCAAACCGATCCGCACCCAGAGGCCGCCGTTGAGGCCCCCCAGGGGAAGAAGCCCTGCCGAAGTTCCAATCAGAAACGAGAGGCTTACAGTCGGTCGCACACGCAAGTGGCCCACGTGTGTGCTCCAGGGCCAGGCAGAACGCGAGCAGCCCCGCACGTGGCACAGTCGGGCGTCGAACTGCGAGCACGGCCGCCACCCCGCAAAGGGGTTGTCAAAGCAAGGGTTCACCAGGCACCAGCAGGGGAGGAGGAGGAGGAGGAGGAGGAGGAGGAGGAGGAGGAGGAGGAGGAGGAGGAGGAGGAGGAGGAGGAGGAGGAGGAGGAGGAGGAGGACGAAGGTGTGGCTGCCCCCTGGCACTGCGCACTGTCCGCCCTCCCTCCGGCCGTACGTGAAGGACGAGCTCCAGGTGGTGGGCTGCAGCCTGACGCGCCGACAGGACGACGACTGGGGCGCCCTGGCCGCAGGAGCCGGAGGCGGGGTGCGCGCCTTGGGCGCCGCCACCGAGACGCTCCGGGCGTTCGGGCAAACGCTCCGGGAGGCAATGACCGCAGGACTTGGGCCATAAGAGGCAACGGCGATGCTCAGATGGACAGCCCAGGGCTTGGCGAACCACCTCTTGCGCTCGCACCTGCAGGACCTGGTGGCCGTCCGGGCCTGCGACACGGTGCTTCGCGGCCCCTGGAATGACCTCCTGGGCGTCGACAGGACCGATCGGGAGTGGGTGCAGTCCTGTTTGCCCCTCTGGGATGGCGGTCTCGCGGCTCGCGCGGCCGAGCCTCGGCGGGAGGCGGCGCACATCGCCGCGTGGCTCGACGCTGCTCCGCGGGTTGCGGCGGCGCTTGGGGCCACCGGCGCCGAGGCTCTTCTCGCCGCGCGCGCTGCGGGCACGCAGGGACTTGAAACCGCTGCGGTGACGTACAATGCTTCGGTCGGCGCAGCCCACTGCCTGCAGACGTCGCTGGCCCAGGGAGAGCGCCACCGACAGAAGGACCTGGTGGGCCCGTGGATGGAAGTGGTTGCGGGCGTCGCCAAAGCTGGCCTGGACCAAAGCGAGCGCGGTCGCCTGCTGTCCGCGGGGGGCCCGGGGGCTGGCGCTTTCACCATGTTGCCGACTAAGCCTGAACACAGGATGCATCCTGAGCTGTACCGCATCGCGTTGCGGCGCCTTCTGATGACGGGCGCAAGGCTGCTGCGCGGACTGGAACCGCAGACGCACTGTCGAAACACATCCCGGAGAGGTGGTGCTTTGCGGAGCGGTTCTGGAACCCGACCAGCACCGCGCCTTGGCGCGCGAGACGGGAGGGCACCGCGTGGCGCGACACGATCGCATTCGCGACCTGCTGGCCCGCTGGCTTGCCCGGCGCGCCCCAGCATGAGTCCAGAAGGAACAGACTGTGCCCCAGTGGCAGAGGACCCGCCGATCCGTCGTGGATGGTGTTGAGACGGCGCGCGTCGAGACGGCGGTCCTTGACGTCGTCTGGGCCCGCCAGGGCGCCGCGAAGGCCGTGGACGTGGTCGTGGTTAGCCTGGACAGTACCGGCGCGAGGGGGGGAGCGCGCTCGGGCGGAGAAGCCTGGCCTTGCAGCGGAGGGCGCGGCCCGCGAGCAGCGGCGCCGGTACCAGCCGGGGCCTGCGACGCCTTTGCTCATTGCTTTTGCGATCGAGACTGGTGGATGAGTGGGCTCTGCTGCGAGACAGCTAATTCTGGATCGCCTAGACCGCTCTGACGGATAGGCAGGAGCGTCTGCCGATGCCGTCGCTTTCTGGCAAGAGCTCAGTGCTGTTCTGCAAACGGCGGTTGCTGAGCAGTTGCTCAGCGCCCACAAGCCCCCTGTCGTCGGGGGCGGGCGCTGAGCACAGTGGCGAGCATGCTGGCGGGCCCGATGCGTTCGCCGAGGACGTCTTCAGGGGCGAGCATCCCGCTGGCGCACGGCAGGCCCGATGCGGTTGCCGAGGGGCTGGGCCCCAGTGCAAGCATCCTGCTGTGCACTGTTTTCTCCTTCTTCTCCTCCTCTTCCCTCCTCCGTAGTCGTTTTGGCTACCTCCACCGTCGCTCTATTGCACTCTGCTGGTCCGCGCGCATGCTGCTGCAGTCCGCCTCTTTCCTCTCTCCTCCTCTCTCCCTCTCTTGCTCCCCGCTCCTTGCCTCCAATGGGCGCGCACGCGCGCCTAACGGGCGGGGTCGGTGACGCAGGTCCCCCAGGCGTGCGCGCCCGTCTCCATTTCCTTCCGGTTCTCTCCTGCTCTCTCCTCCCTCCTTCCTTCCCCCCTCCCTGTCTTTCAGTGGGGGTGGCGTGCCCTGTCGCCGGTGCCTGGGTGGAATAGCGCCTTCCACCCGGGTACTGAGAAAAATCTATTCGATGGGCATGCCCCCTTCCGTGGTGGGTTTGGGACTGCCGGCCGACACGCCTGCCCCGGTGGACATCAGACCTAAAATGGGTCTGGTGCGGGGCTGCGGATTAGCAGGAGGAGGAAGAGGAGGAACAGGAGGAGGAGGAGAAGGAGGAGAAGGAGGAGGAGGAGAAGGAGGAGGAGGAGGAGAAGGAGGGGTTGCCAAAGCAAGGCTTGCAGCACCAGCTCCACACCTATGCCTTCTGGGGCCTGGGGAAAACTCCCCCCCCCGATCCGTCCCCGAAGACCCCGGTCCGTTCCTGAAGACAGGAATTGGGTGGCCTTCCAGGGCAGCCTGCTGGTTCGAAGGCCTGACCTCCCCCAGAAGGACCGCCTGGCCTAACTCAGTGCTCTCGCAAAACACAAGCACCGTGAGACGGCACCTCTTCGTAAGCAGCAACCGCTTGCGGGAGCAACGACTCCGTGGGTGTAAAATCTTCGTGTCCTGTGTTGGCGTCGTAGGGCCCTACTCAATGAAAAAAGGCACCCTAGTGCGCGGCGGCAGCGCGGAAATGGAATTGGACCATCGTATTGTGCTGCGCGTTGCCGTTCTCGCGGCCACTGCCCCCCCGACACTACAGACAGTTTGGCCGACCAAAGATCCATGTCGCCGAGCTTAGCGAAACGGTCGAACTCCCAAAACATGAACAACAGATCTGCTCTTTCGGCAAGGTCATCATAGGTCATGCGTCGGGAAGCCTCTCTCTTTTTTTCCCAAAGCGACAACCTGCAATCGTGAGTGACATCTCCTAACATGTCACTGAAATCGGCCACACCAGCCTCATAAAAAAAAACAAGGTCCCCAAACTCAAGCAGCCTCCATTCCTCAGGGCCCTCCAAACCAACACGAAACCAAACATGGGGCTCACAGGGTTCCCAACCAGCTTGAATCATGGTGGCCTGGACCGCAGCAGTGGCCCCCTGTTCATCCAACGGACAGACTGGTTGCGCACTGAAGCAAGAGAGACTGGACTTTGCTCCAACCATTGCGAATCACGCTTGCAAGGCCGGCAACGAAAGCCAAAACCATATCCACTCCGTAAAACAAACTTGAACGCGCAAGTCGATGCCACGGCCAGCAACTCCCATAAAAGGTTCGAGGCCGAGGAGGAGCGGGAGGAAGAGGAGAAGGAGGACGGAAAACGAACGGGAGGAGTGGGAGGACGAGGAGGAGGAGGAGGAGGAGGAGGAGGAGGAGGAGGAGGAGGAGGAGGAGGGAGGAGGAGGAGGAGGAGGACGAGGAGGAGGAGGAGGAGGAGGAGGAGGAGGAGAGGAGAGGAGGAGGAGAGAGGAAGAGGAGGATGAGGATGAGGAGGAGGAGGAGGAGGAGGAGGAGGAGGAGGAGGAGGAGGAGGAGGAGGAGGAGGAGGAGGAGGAGGACGGGGAGGAGGAGGATCGAGGAGGACACAGAGAAAGAGGAAGAGGATGAGGATGATGATGATGATGAGGAGGAGGAGGAGGAGGAGGAGGAGGAGGAGGAGGAGAAGGAAAAGGACACTAAGCCGGGTGTGCGTGGGTTCCTTGTTGGCTTTCCCCCCGCAGGCCTGCGGCCGCCGGCTGCGGCGGGGCGGCGGCGCTGGAGCGCCTCCTCAGGGGAAAACCCTGGAATGCCTCGGGCCGGGGTTCTGCTCGCCCTGCCTGGCAAACACGAGCTGGCTGTTTTGCACCGCATCCACTTCCTAGGGGACCTCGATGGGCCGCGAGACCGCCAAAAACACACAATGGAACAAACACGCACAGCAACAAAAATTGTGGAAACAAACGCGGTGGAAAAATACCCACACACACAATAGACAAAAGGGCAATGGAACATATTATGTGGAAAACGCATTCGGGACAAACACACACACAACAAACAAATCTACGCGTTTTGTCCACTGTGTGTATTTCGTCCTCGGTGAGTGATTTTCCACAAGCGTTAGGATGACAAGCCGGACCAAGGACGTGGGGCCCCGCCGTCGAAGTGAAGGGGTGGGAAGAATTCTCGTTGGTTCTTGGATGTTTCCCCCGCGATGCGATACTTTTCAGCAGGTGCGCCTCGTCCACAATTTTTCCTGGGGTGCCCGGCTCGTCCCGAACGGCCGCCGGAGGCCCGAGCCATGACCTGGAAACCCACATGCACCGCGATGGGGCCCTGACATCCTAGCTCCGCATTGTTGTTAGAAAATGCGACGTGCAATCTTTGTCAGGTTTCGGTTTCCGAAGGCCCCTCGCCGGACCAAGGGCCGTACAAACACATTTCAAAATCTAACAAAAACCGGCGCGGGGAGAATAACCTGAACTTGTGGGAGCCCTGACATCCTGGCGTTATGGAAAAATCACAACGGGAATCGGTTTGGCAATGCTTCCGGGAAGGCCTTTACTGGCCTTGGGGCCGACAGGATGAAAAAAAAAACTGGCACTGGGGAAAGGGTCGGGGATCCCTGGGACCCTGACATCCTCGCGTCGCGAAAAGCAGCGAAAAAACGCGGCCGGCGTTTTTTTTTGGGGGGGGGTCGGGGGTCATCAAGTGGTCTCGGGGCCGTCACAAAGCCCCCTGGGAGAATTCCAGCCCTCAGGGGGAGCAGAGAAACGGAAAAAAACAACGACGTCGGATATCTGGGAACTTGAGCGCGCGCATGCGCCGCCAGGAAACGTCCACATCCGCAACTGCTGGAGTCCTGGCCTGGAACCCCGGCGAACGGCGGATGCGGGCACCTCCCCGCGCTCCAGGGCGCGCAGCTCAGCGACAGGTCCTCGAGATGTCCGGGGGCGTGTCCGAGGCGGTCGATCGAGTCGGATCGGAGTCTTGGAAGTCGAAGCTCGGGATCCGAAGCTTGCGACCACGATCCACTTCTGATTAATCCAGGGCCCGACGAACTTGCCACGAATATCGAAATCGCAGAACAACTGCTTGATCGCAGCAGCGCGGGTCCTCGCCGCGGACGCCGGCATAATCGAAGCAAAAAACCCAGGTTGCAACAACCCCCCAAAAACAGATCGTCGGAAATCGGGGGAGGAGGAGGAGCAGGCTCACTCGCTCAACGCTGGCATGATAATGATCCGCACTCATCAACAACATGCCACTCTTACTCGGCTAAAGACTGCAAAGAAGAATACGCATGAAACAACAAAGAAAGAAGCCGGCCTAGTCGTACATGTCGAACAGAAGCCTCTCTCTGACCGCCCTGTCCCCTGGGGCGGTCTCCTGCAAGAAACGCAAGTCTCGGGGGCTCGCTGCCCCGTGGAGCGATATGCTCGCGGCGGCAGTCCTCCCTTCCGAGGCGAGCCTGCGCACGATTGGCCACGATCCTGGCCAGCTGGTTAGAGGTGAAGGAGAGGGGAGCAGGCGGGGGGGTGGGCGAAAGGAGAAAATGGAAAGGGGAAGGGGGAGCCAGCAGACAGGACGCGGCCTCCTCCGCAGGGGATCCCAAAGCGAGATCTAGCACGGCCTACTCTGACTCAGCCTTGTCGGGAGGCACTGCTTGAGATGTGGGCAGCTGCTCGTCCGCTCGCGCCTCCTCGGGCTCGGTCTCTGAGTCTGAATCCAAGCAACGGGAAACCTGTGGGCCAACTGTCCTGTGACCCGCTCTCGAAAAACCAGCGAAGTCGGGAAAGGGGGTCGGAATCTTCGGAGCATCCTTCTCAAGCCAAACATTAAACGCAAAGAGCGGATGTCTGACCTCGTCGAGGTCAGGAAGATAAGCAACTTCAGAACATTCGGGGAAAAAGGGGGAGGCTCGGAGGATAGCAGGGACCTGGAGGAATCAACGATACCCGACGCCAGAGCTAAACATAGGCCAGCTGGGCATGTCTTCTTGTAAGCTGTCCGAAACTGTTCCTGGTCTTCTTTGCGCCAGGTGAAATCTTGTGGGCTCCTCTCCCATGGGAGCGCCGTCCAGAACCTGGTGTGTGTTTGAGGTGCCCTGGAAGAGAAGGCATCCTAATAGAGAGAATAGTCGTGAATGCTCTGCCCATTTCATCAAGGCGCACACTAGGATCCTGATGCCCGCTCGCACTGGTCAAACGTGGTGCAGGCAGCGCAAGGTGTTGCAAAAGGGAGTGAGTGAAGTGGGTGCCAGTTGACGGAGGTGGGGGCTTTCGAGCCCAAGTAGGAGGAGGAGGAGGAGGAAGAGGAGGAGGAGGAGGAGGAGGAGGAGGAGGAGGAGGAGAAAGGAGGGAGGAGGAGGAGAAGGGAGGGACGAGGAGGGGGGGCTTCTTCTCCCCTCGGAAAGCTCGGGCTCGAAGTCCTCGGCGCGCACGCGCCGGGCGCGGGCGCCTCCGCGGGCCTCGCCGGCGGCGGCGCGAGGCGGAGGCCCGCAGAGCCGCCCGGCAGCCGCCCAGGGAAGGACGCGGCGAAGACGAGGCGGCCCTTGGCGACGACGCCGCCGACGCCGACGCCGACGCCGACGCCGACGCCGACGCCGGCGACGACGACGACGGCGGCGGCGGCGGCGATGACGGCGGCGGCGGCGGCTGCTGCGGCGACGACGACGACGGCGGCGATGACGACGACGACGACGACGGCGGCGAGGGCGACGGCGTCGCCGAGGCCGAAGACGAGGCCGACGATGAAGCCGGGGAAGGGCGTGGCGAAGACGAGGCGGCCCTCGGCGGCGGTGACGTCGACGGCGTCGGCGACTGCCCCAAACATCCAACGTCCAGAACAAGGAACATCCAACGTCTTGAACAAAACAAGACTGACATCTCTCATGATCTTCGGCCGCTGGGTGCCCTTGCCGGGCGCCGTGCCGGCCCAGGACGATGAGAACCATCCTCGGGGAAAAGGCCGGGACGTCCGTGGGTATCCCCAAGTCTCCGGCGACATGATTTGTCCAATCTGGGTTTTTCTTCCTGGAGTTCTTTCTCCGGGGCCCGTAATCGGGCCCCGGGGCCCGGGGGCGAAAAACTGGCCATGGGGAAGGGGTCGGGAGCTCTGGGGCCGGGGATTGAAAACGTCGCATCGGCGATGTCGGGGTCGACGACGTCAGCGACGTCGGCAGGCTCAGCCAGCATCGAATCGGACAATCGAATCGGATCGGACTCTGCGTCGCATCGGGCTGCATCGGCTCTGAGTCGGCATCGGATCGGATCGGCCGCGCCATGATGCACAACAGCGCCGTGCAAGCATCGGGCCGCATCAGATCGTCAAACTACTGGAATCGAATTGGATCGAAAGTGGGCCCTGCGTCCGCGATCTCGCTTCGGATGCTTCAGGGGGCGTTTCTGGAGGCTCTCGGCACCTCGGTTGGACGCAGCTCGGGAAGCTGGCCGGGGCGGCCCCCAGGAGTAGAGGAACGAATAACGATACAAACATAAAAACTTGGAGGTCCGCGCAGATTTTTCGGATCGGCGCTGGGGCCCCCCAGGCGGCGCCTCCGGCGCCGCCACTGGCGCGCTTCGCGCGCCAGGGAGGGGGGGTCGAGTGCCGATCCGAGAAATCCGCGCGGAGCTCCGAGTTTTTATGTTTATGCCAGTTCTTGTTCCCCTAGAGAGGTGCCCTGGGACCGATCTTGAACGGATATTGGCCTGGACCTTCTCGGGATCTTAGCCTTAGGCCCGGCCGGTCCTCCTACAGGGGGATTTTGGACGACAAGTAAAAACTAGTCAAAACAGATTCCAAAAACGCTCAACAAGAGCGAAAAAATCGTCCCCAGGTTTTTGTTGGACTATTTTTGAATGTATTCCTCCTGTAGAGGGACAGGCCCGACTTCATCTTAGCCTGGAGGCGCTCGGACGTGTCCTGCTCTCTGGAGCTCTGGGAGGCCTCTCGCCGCCACGGGCCGGGGAGCCGGAACTCGCATGGGAACTCTGGCCGAACACACCGCTATAAACATCCCCCACGAGGCCCCACAGGAGACCGCAAAACGTTGACTCTTACCATCTCCACTCCCTCTCGCTCTCTCTCGCGCTCTCTCGTCGCTCCGCCTTCTCCTTGCACGCGCCAATTCCCGCGCCAATTCCCTTCCTAAAAAACCGCTCTCCTGCCTCCTCCTCCCCGTGCTGCTCCTCCCTCCTCCCCTGCGCCCTCCTGCTTCCGCACCCCCTGCCCCAAGAGGCGCCCAAGAGGCGCCCAAGGACGGCCTAGGACAGCCCAAGACGGCCCAGGAGGTCCCGCCGCCGCTTTGATGCCTGGGTCCCAGAACCCCTCGCGTCGTGAGACAACTCTTGATGGAAAACGCTTGGCCGTTTTCGGCCTCTGGGGGCCCTCGCTGGGCCCTGGGGCCGCAACAAAAACATTGCCCGGGGTGGAAGAATGGCCCCGGGGAACAGGATCGAGGCTTCTGGGGGCCCACGTCGTGAACAAGCACGGCGTCGGAGGTCAGGGCACGACGACCACGGCGGCAGCCCCTCAGTCTTCCAAGTATTCCAGCCCACGCAACTTTCGACCTGACTGTCTCACTAATTGCTTGTTTAACCACGGGGCAACCACGGGACAACCACGGGACGACCTCGAGACGACCGCGGGACAACCGCCCGGTAGCGAATACCACGTGGGCCTGCTGAGGCCAGCCAGGGCTGCCTCACGGGGCGTTGTTGCACGCAGACCGACCCCCCGAGCCTTGCCGGGGGATGTCTTCGGATGGCCCCGCCTTGGACGCGTCCATCCACTCGAGCAGCCTCGTGACTGAGGACGGACCAGGATCCCCGAAGCATCGGTGAGCCACCAGCACCATGGCAATGGCGAAGTGCGGAAATCCAAACCTGTCGGCCACACGCCTGGGTGCCCCTGGGCAAGAGTGGCCTTTGGCGCGTGGCTGTTGCGAGCGGTGCGACGGCCCGCGCACCAAAGATCACTCTGGCGAAGGGTCACCCTAACGTTGGAGGAAGAAAAGAAGCATAAGTGTAAACTGTCGGAGCTCCACGCGGATTTCTGGGATCAGCGCTGGGCCCCCCTGGCGGCGCCTCGGGCGCCAGCGCCTCTGGCACTCTCCGCGCGCCAAGGACGGCCCCGGAGGCGCGGCCGGGGGGCCCCAGCGCCAATCCAAGGACTCCGCGCGGAGCTCCGAAAGCTTACGTTCAGGGACTTTCGCTCAGCGTGTCGCGGCGGCGGCCCCAGCGAAACGCTGCGGCCTGCGAGCGGATAAAGTGTCGCTCCGCTCCGCGGGGCGGGAGGCTGGGAAAAGCTCGGGATGCTGACGCCTGGGGACTGGCCATTGCTCGGACGTCCATTCCCTGTGCTCGGACAGTCGGGGCGTTGACCTAAGGAACCTTACATCAGGAACGAGGCCCATTTTCCCACAAGTTCAACTTCGATCTACCTTCGGAAACCTAAGGAAAGCCTAAGGCAAACTTTGAAACAATCAAGGAACACCGAGCCCCTCCCCAACGCAAAGTGTTCCTTCTTCAGCGCCCCGACCGTAGAGTCGGGGTGGACTGGAGAGGACACGCGAGAGGACACGAGACTCTTCCGAGGGCTCCGTTGCTGGTGCACAGGACACGAGGGTACCCCTTGTTTGGGCAGGGTCGGCCTACTGATTAACCTCGACCGTATGTGAATGCCGTTGTTGAAGGGGCCCTGGGACACGCAAATACATACACACAAATTTGAGGATTCCCCATACTTTCCCACACTTTCAGTGTTTTTGTCTTCCCCCCCACTTCCCATATCTTCCCATCTTTTCCTGGGAGTCGACGATGAATTGTGTCTGTGTGCTTTATTTTTTTCCTCCTGAGTTTTCTCTCTTCTTCGACACACGTGAGCCCAGCCTGTGCTGTGCGCCCGCCGCCTCCGGGCCCTGCGGGGCGAGCCTCGCGCGCAAGGTGCCGGGGACCTCCTTGAGCCGCCCGACCTCGCGGAAGAGGGCGTGCACCGTCGACTTGGGCGCCAGGTCGGGCATCACCTGGCCCACCGTTCTTCCCCTCGCGCAAGCACGATCTCCATTCGCGGAGGCTCACGTCACACTGCCCTCGGAGTCCCGAAACGGTGCGGTGACGGACCGTGCGGTGACCTC